GGGCAGCGCAGGAGCACAGATTGCCAGCAGCTGTTCGTGCCCGAGTTGCACAGCAGGAGCAAGAGCGGAGTTGGTGCGGCGTCGGCTCTTCAGAGCCACGATGGACGCCATGGTTGCTGACCCCAGACCGAGGAGAGAGTCTGAAAGACTTCGCTTGGTTCCGCCTGCCCCGACAACTGTTGCTCGTTTCAGTGCCACGCATAGTCTTGATGACAGTGGCCGCCTTTGTACGAGATGTCACGGGTCCGCGACCCAAAAAATGTCTCGTTGATTGGTTGAAGACGCAATGTTTTGCCTTGCAGTCTGTAGACGGTGCTGCATCACGAACACTCCAGGGTGCAATGTCAATCGGGCGGGGGGGGTGCTGCGTCCCTCGCATAACCTAAGGTTTCACGTATATTGGAAGCTCTGGTTTTGCGGGGTGTGTGGATTGTACTCTTAAGATTAAATCCGAGGGCCTGCAACCGAGCGCACTCATAGAACCAACAAGCCCCGACGCGATTATTTAAAGAGGATTGAAGATGGGCTCTGGCCAAAGTTTTTGTCGTTGCCGGAGCAGCGAGCCAGAGGCCGCATCCCCCCTTGATTTTTTTGTCGCTTCGCGAATTGACCGTTCCAATTCCCATTCCCATTCCTCCTGCTCCTCCACCATCTCCTCCTCGTCCTCCTCCTCCTCATCCTTCTCCACCCCATCCTTCTCCCCATCTTCCTCCCCATCCTCCTCCCCATCCCTTCCTCCTCCTCATGCTCCTCCGCCATCTCCTCCTCCTCCTTCTCCTCCTCCTCCGTCTACAATTACACAATATGAAAATACTCTCCCACTTCCCCTGATGGCGTCCCGAAGATATCCGACACCCCCCCGCGTATTGTTTTTTACACAGGATTCCCGGGAAACGGGTTTTCGTTTTTTTCTCTCAAAATGCTGATCTCGCTGAGGCGCCGGCTTCATTTTTGCTCCCGAATCGTTCCGAATCGTGCTCCCGCTGCAGCGTGGGCCTCATTTTCGGATCGGTGTTTGGCCTCCGTCGTTCAGGATGGCGTTCTCGCCACAGCGCGGGCCTCTTTCTCGCGCGCCCATCCGCCCGCCACCACCGCGCCGCACCACCACCACCACCGCCGCCACCACCACCACCACCACCACCACCACCGCCACAACCACCACCAGCAGCACCACCACCAGCACCACCAGCACCACCATCACCACCACCACCACCACCACCACCACCACCACCACCACCACCACAACCACACACGCACGCGCGCACGCACGCACGCACGCACGCGCACCACCACCCACTACGCACGCGCGCGCGGAGCCACAAGTCCGCTACGACACGCGTCCGCGGATAGAGAAAATCAGCGCTATGGTAAGGGATGGGAGGGACGTCAGATATGACGCGAGCGCACCTAGTTTGCCTCCTCCCCCTCCCCATCCTCCTCCCCTCCTCCTTCTCCTCCTCCTCCTCCTCCCCCATTCCTCCCCATCCTCCTCGCGGAGGCAGACGATGCTGGCTCCACTGTAGTGTCTGCTGGTGGCTCGACAGGGCGACATTATGTGATGTGCCAGAATTGTTGGTGCTGCTCAGAGGCGCTGCGATTGGGTGTTGTCGAGAGGCGAGAGGTCATCGGCATCGGGACTCAGTCGTGCATAGGTCTCTGGTTCGACGGCGTGACTGGTGACACGTTATGTGCCTGGTCTGCCTCAGTCAGTGGGTACTGGTGTTGCTCTCGCCTGCGGCGTGCTGATAGTCGACATATATGGTGTGTCTATCCGAAGCTTTGTGATGCAGTCGTGTTCAGGGGGAGTGAGTGGCGATGGTGGACGTGAGGAGTTTTGATCGTGCGTGGCGTGCATGTGAGAGAGGGCAGGGTGCAGTGATGAGCTGTGTAAGTTTAGCAGTGTGAGGCTGTGCATGAATTTGTTTTGACTCAGAAGTGCTGTAGCAGCGAGTGAATGAGGCCGTGCGCCGACAGCTGCCGACTGGCACTGTCGCTGGCGCCCCCCAGCAATGGGGTGCCGAGGCGCGAATGAGGGGGTAACCCCAGTCTTCTCCTACGACCATTCGACCTTGGTCGCCAGGGAGTCCACCACCACCACCTCCTCCTCCCCATCCTCCGCCTCCTCCTCCTTCTCCTCCTCCTCGTCCTCCTCCTCCTCCTCCTCCTCCTCCTCCTCCTCCTCCTCCTCATGCTGCTCCGCCATCTCCTCCACCATCCCTTCCTCCGCCTCTTCCTCCTCCTCCTCCTGCTCCTCCTCCCCCTCCTCCCCCTCATACTCATCATCAATCATCATCTCATCATCATCATCATCATCATCATCATCATCTCATCATCATCATCATCATCATCATCATCATCATCATCGTCATCATCATCATCATCCATCATCATCATCATCAGCATCGTCATCCGCTTCCCCCATCCTCCCCCATATTCCTCCCCATCCCGCCCTCTTCCCCATGCTCCTCCACCATATCCTCCTCTCCTCCTCCTCCTCCTCCTCCTCCTCCTCTCCTCCTCTCCTCTCCATCCTCCTCCCAATCCGCCTCTCCATCCTCATTCCCATCCCTTCCTCCCCTTCTGCTCCTCACCCACCACCCGTCCTTTCCTCCTCCTCCTCCTCCTCCTCCTCCTCCTCCTCCTCCTCCTCCTCCTCCTCCTCCCCCTCCTCCTCCTCCCATCCCCCCCCTCCCCCCCCCCCCTCCCCCTCCCCATCCCCCCCTCGCCCTCTTCCTCCTCCTCCCCTCCTCCTCCTCCCCATCATTCCTCCTTGTCTGCTCCTCCTCCTGTTCCTCCTCCTCCTCCTATCCTCCCTCCTTCTCCTTCCCATCCTCCTCCCCATCCTCCTCCCCATCCTCCTTCCGCGTCGTTTCCCCTCCTCCTCGGTGTTCCTCCACCATCTCCTCCTCCTCCTCCTCCTCCTCCTCCTCCTCCTCCTCCTCCTCCTCCTCCTCCTCCCTCCTCCCCCTCCTCCTCCCCTTCCTCCTCCCCATCCTCCTCACTATCCATTCCTCCTCCTCACCTGCTGCACCATCTCCCCCTCCTCCTCCTCCTCCTCTCCTCCCTCCTCCTCCTCCTCCTCCTCCCCTCCTCCTCCTCCCCTCCTCCTCCTCCCTCCTCCTCCTCCTCCTCCTCCTCCTCCTCCTCCTCCTCCCCTCCTCCTCCCCATCCTCCTCCTCCGCTTCCTCCTCCTCCTTCCTCCTTATTCTCTTTCATCCTCCTCCTCCTGCTCCTCCTCCTCCTCATCCTCCTCTTCCTGCTTCTCCAACAGCTCCTCCACCATCCCCTCATCTTCCTCTTCCTTTTCCCTTTCCTCCTCCCCATTTTCCTTCCCATCCCTTCCTCGTCCTCATGTTCCTCCATCTCCTCCTCCTCCCCTCCTCCTCCTCCTCCCCCTCCTCCTCCTCCTCCTCCTTCCCATCCTCCTCCCCGCCTCGTCCTCCTCCTCGTGCTCCTCTACCATATCCTCCTCCTCCTTCCCCTCCTCCTCCTCCTCCTCCTCCTCCTCCTCCTCCTCCTCCTCCTCCTCCTCCTCCTCCTCCTCCATTCCGTCTCCTTAAATATAACTCCTCCCTGTCGCACCCCGGGGCAAATTTTTAGGACGGGCCAGGCGTTTCGCCTGAGACCCCCCCACCACTTATTATTCTGAAGTTGAAACAGTGATAGCAGCTTCACAGATGGAGGGTTCAGGGATTGAGGGCGGGTCGTTTTCAAATTGTGGCTCTCGCTTCAGCGCCGCGAACATTCATGTTCACAATTTGCAAGAGTTTCACGGATTGAAGGCGGGTGGCTTTCAAACTGTGGCTCTCGCTTTAGCGCCGCGCAGACTTGATAGAAACATTTGTAAGAGCTTCACGGATTGAGGGCGGCTGGTAGTCAAAATGTGGCTCTCTCCTGAGCGCCGCGCACATTCGTTTTAAAAATTTGCCAGAGCTTCACGGACTGAGGGCGGTGCCTTTTCAAAGTGTGGCTCTCGTCTTAACGCCGCGCACATTTGTTTTAAATACTAGTAACAGTTTCACGGATTGAGGGCGGGTCGTTTTCAAAAGGTGGCTCTCGCCTTAGCGCCGCTGTGTTGAAGTCCCACAAATGGCGTTCTGGCGTGATTCTGGCGTCAAGACGTTGCAGTCAGGTTGATGCGTGGCGTTGAAATCCCGAAAGCCATGTTTTGGCACGCTTCAGGATCTTCAAACTGTTGTCTTCCAACGGGGCAGTTCCTTCAATGGAAATGAACCGCTGACGGGGCCTATGAAGAGGAATATTGAGGGAGGGTTAATTCCAACATCGTTGATGACTCTTGAGTTTCCACTGGTCCTCCTCCTCCTCATCCTCCTCCTCCTTATCCATTCCTCCTCCTTATGCTCCTCCACTATCTCCTCCTCCTCCTTCTCTTCCCCATCCTCCTCCCCATCCTCCTCCTCCTCCTCCTCTTCCTCCTTCTCCTCCTCCTCATGCTCCTCCACCATCCCCTCCTCTTTCTCCTCCTCCCCGTCCTCCTCCCCATCCTCCTCCCCATCCCTTCCCCCTCCTCATGCTCCTCTTCCATCTCCTCCTCCTCCTCCTCCTTCCTCCTCCTCCTCCTCCTCCTCCTCCTCCTCCTCCTCTCCTTCCTCCTTCCCAGCCTCCTCCCCACCTCTTCCTCCTCCTCATGCTGCTCCACCATCTCCTCCGCCTCCTCCTCCTCCTCCCCATCCTCCTCCCCATCCCTTCCCCCTTCTCCTCCTCCGCCTCTTCCCCCTCCGCCTCCCCCTCCTCCTCCTTCTCTTCTTCCTCCTTCTCCTCCTCCTCCTTCTCCTCCATCTCCTCCTCCTCCTCCTCCTCCTCCTCCTCCTCTCCTCCCCATCATCATCATCATCATCATCATCATCATCATCATCATCATCATCATCATCATCATCATCATCATCATCATCATCATCATCATCAGCATCATCATCATCTTCTTCATCATCCCATGCCGTCTGCTCGCTCTCCTCGGCGGCGGCGGCGACGGCCTCCGCAGCCGCCCTGGCCCCGATGGTTCCCGGGCGGCGCGGCCCGCGGCTCGGGGCCCGTAGAGCGGCCCAGGCGGCGGCGCTGGCGGCCTGCTGCGGCCTAACGGTCCTTGCCGTCGTCGTAGTCAACCCTCGTCCGTCCGTCCGTCCGTCGTCACCGCTGCCGTCTTCGCCGCCGCCGCTGCCGCCGTCGCCGTCGTCGTCGTCGTCCATCCAATTTCGTCGTCGTCCGTCCGTTTTTGTGGTCATCGCTGGTGTCGTCACCACCCCCGTCGTCGTCGTCGTCGTCGTCGTCGTCGTCGTCGTCGTCGTCGTCGTCGTCGTCGTCGTCGTCGTCGTCGTCGTCATCTCCAGCGTCGTCGTCGTCGTCGCCGTCGTCGCCGCCGTCGTCGTTTTCATCGTCGTCTTCGTCGTCGTCATCGTCATCGTCACTGCTGCCGTCTTCGTTGCCGCCGTCGCCGTCGTCGTCTTCGTCGTCTTCGTCGTCGTCGTCTTCGTCATCGCCGTTGTCGTCGTCGTCGTCGTGGTCGTCGTCGTCCGTCCGTTTTCGTCGTCACTGCCGCTGTCGTCGCCATCCCAGTCGTCGTCGTCGTCGTCGTCGTCGTCGTCGTCGTCGTCGTCGTCGTCGTCGTCGTCGTCGTCGTCGTCGTCTTCGTTGTCGTTGCCATCGTCGGCGTCGTCGTCGTCCGACGTCGCCGACGTTGTCGGTCCTCGTCGTCGTTGTCGTCATTATCGTGTCTGTTGTCGTCCTCGTCATGCTCCTCAGTTTCCTTCTCGATCTCTCTACCCATTGTCCTCCTCTTCCTCCTCATTCTTCTCGTCCACGTTATCCTCAGCCTCCGCCTCCGCGCTATCCTCGGCCCGTTCTTGCTCCTGCTCCACCAGCTCGTCATGTTGCTCCTCCTGCTCCTCCTCAGGTGCTCCGCCTGGGAAACTGGCTGGGAGGCCTCGTCCAGGCGGCGGTTGAGAGCGCGGACAGGTGGGCGGACGGCAAGCCTTTGAATCGCAGAGGGCCAATTTGTGACTCCCAGAGGGGGAGGAGAAGGAGGAGAGAAAGGGGAGAGGGAAAAAGAGGAGGAGGAGGAGGCGAAGGAGGAGCAGGAGCCAGAGGAGGAGGACCAGGAGCAGGAGCAGGAGCAGGAGCAGGAGCAGGAGGAGGAGGAGGAGGAGGAGTAGGAGGAGGAGGAGGAGAAGGGGCGGAAAGGGGAAGAGGAGGAGGAGGAGGAGGAGGAGGAGGAGATTGAAGTGGAGGTGGAGGAGGAGAAGGAGAAGGAGGCGGTGGAGGAGGAGCAGGGGCAGGGCGGGGATGGGCAGAAGGAAGGGCTAGAGGATGGTGGAGGCGAAGGAGGCGGAAGGGCAGCCGCTCTATTGCCATCCTCGCGCTCGCGGAGGTGATCAGGGAGACAGACCTGGCCGCCAGTCCCAGGAGAAGGAGGAGAGGAACGACTCTGGAAGGTCCACAGGACACCCACTAGGCACCACCAGTGCGCCCTCGCCAGTCATCGCCACCACTGGTGCGCCCGAAGTCCCGTCCTCGCCAGTCAGCGCAGGGCCGCTGGACAGCCCAGGGCCTCGCGGGCGCGAGCGGTGGGAGCCGCGGGCGCCTCGGAGGGCGCATCGCCGACCACGTCGAGGCCCGATCGCGGAGCGCAAGGCGAGATGACCTCGAGAGGGGATCGCCCTCCACCGAAGAGTTTAGCCTGAGTGGGCGGAGCCAGATGCGTCTCGAGCTGCGCATCGCTGGCCACATCAAGACTCGACCGCGCAGTTCCAGGCGAAGTGAGTTCGAGAGGGGGTCCACCAATGTGGGTGTTGAGAACTTGGCGGCGATACGCGCCGCGTCGGAGAGGCCAGCGCGACGTTCGAGAGGCACGGCCCTCCATGCCAGTGGCAGTTGAAATTTCCTTCGTTCAAGTGTAGGGTCAGACGGGAGCACGTCTCTTGCCCTTCGTCTCTTTGGCCGGCGAAGATTGCAAGCTGCGGGGCCGTGCGCATAAAAGAAATCCATGGCGGGATGAAGATTTAGGACAGCGGAGCCGGCTTCTGTGGGGAGGAGGAAGAGAAGCAGGAGGAGGAGGAGGAGGAGGAGGGATAACGGAGGAGCATCATGAGCGACGGATAGCATGATAAATACGATCAGGGGAGGATGACGAGCAGGAACGCGAGGAGCAGGAGAGGGAGCACCACAGGCAGCACACTATGGCTGCACTTCCGTTGGCAGGCCACATCACGAAGTCACGCCGTGGCACCAAGCCTTGCTGAATCAGGAGGGGGGGGAGGAAGAGGAGGCGGAAGAGGAGGAGGAAGAGGAGGAGGGGGAGGAGGATAAGGACAACGCTTTAATAAATTATTCGTCCCTCTTCCTCCTCCTCCGTTTGTTCGTCGGACTGCCTGCTCCAAGTTGTGACCGCCCAGATCGCCGCCGAGTTATTCCGATCGCGATGCGATGCTTTGCTACCACTTGCAATGCACTTGTTTCCGTGTGTTCGCTTGTCCTTGTATCGCGTGTGTGGGAGATCCCTTTGCGTGGCCTCGGATTTCTGGATGTGGTGTCCCTGGTTGTTCAGTACTGAGGGGGGAAGGATTAGGAACATAAGGATGATAAGCAACATGGGATGAGGAGGTGGAGGAGGAGGGGGAGGAGGACAAGGAGGAGGAGGAAGATGAGGAGGAGGAGGGGGAGGTGGAGGAGGAGGTGGAGGAGGAGGAAGAACAGGAGGAAGAGGCGGAGCAGCAGGACCAGCATGAGCAGGAGGAAGAGCAGCAGCAACAGCAGGAGGAGGTGCAGGAGCAGGAGTAGGAGCAGGATGAGCGGCAGGAGGAGCATGAACAAGAGCATGAACGGGAGGAACAGGCTGAGGTGGCGCAGGAGCTGGATCAGGGCGAGCCGCAGCAGGAGGAGGAGGAGGAGGGCCACGACGATGAGGAGGAGGAGGAAGAGGAGGAAGAGGCGGAGCAGCAGGAGCAGCAGGAGCAGGAGGAAGAGCAGCAGCAACAACAGGAGGAGTGGCAGGAACACGAGGAGGAACAGGAGCGGCAGGACCAGCAGGTACAAGATAACGAACAGGAGGAGCAGCAGGAGGTGGCGCAGGAAGTGGACCATGAGGAGCCGCATAAGGAGGATGCCCACGAGGCACGATGCGGGTATGGGTGGGCTTGGCGCTTTTCCATGGGAGGCGATTGCGGATTCATGATTGCAGACCCCCTTGTTTAAACTCAAGATCCCTGACCAAAGCCCCCCGCGAACAAAAAAAGGGATTCCTTACTACGGTCACTATACTAACACCCCCATAGTAAGGAAACCTGATTCTGATTTATATACGAAGGATCCAGTACGTAAGGTTCCTGGCCCGGGATACTTTTTCTCGGATCATGATGTCTCATTGCAAGGGTTACTGAATACGGATTTGCACTCTAGGACTCCTCAGCAAGGATTCCCTAGTAGGGAAACCTTGCTGAGGGTTCCTTGCCAAGGTTTCCCTGATCTGGATTCGTTACTGTTGATTTCTTCGTTCAGGAACCCGCAGAACGAGTCCTCACTACGGGCACATCACGAATTACCCCTAGTACGGAAACATGATCCAGGCTTCCTTACGGCAGATCCATAATGTAAGATTCCTTGCGGAAGGCCCCCTTAACCATGATTGTTTACCAAAGGTTCCCGGATACGGATTTTCGACCAAGGGCTGCTCAACAAGGATTCTCTGGTAATGACACCTTACTAAGGATTCCCTACCAAGGATTCCCGAGTCTGGATCCGTCAACGTTAATTTCTTATCAAGGATTAATCAGGGTGCCTTACTAAGTACTCCTCAACCACAATTCCTTACGACGGATGTCCTTGCACATATTCCGCACGACGATTGTTTTATCACAACAGGGTATGATCCCCTACCGCGAGATCTCTCATTGAGGAGGCGCAAAACAGGAATCATGATTACGGATTCCCTAGCCAGAATCTTTTCTTAAAGATCCCTGTCTAAGGATTCCTCAGTGCGGGTTCTTATTGCGGGCCCGTGGTTGAGGGATCCCTCACAAGGATTCATTAGTTTGGATTCCCTTGTCATGGTTCCATCGGAAGGACACGTGACTGAGAATTCCTGAGCACGGAATCCTTATGAAGGTTTCTTTACCAAGGATCATTTACGCCTGGCTTTTTCCTACGGGCCACGGGTTTCTTTTCAAGGATTCCGGAATCAATGGCCTACTGTCAATCATTCCTCCGTACGGGTAGCTTGCTTACTACAGAACCTTAAACAGGGTTCGCGAGTAAGGAACCCTCGTACCGATTTGCTACCGAGGGCTTCGTATTAATGGGGTCTTCCTTGAGGGTTCCTTATCAAGTATTCCTTACTAAAAACTCCTTACGAAAGAATCCCCCGTCAGGATTCCTTCCTAAGAAATTCTTAGCAAGGGTTGCTTATTAAGGAGTCGTTCCTAAGGAGACGCTGCTCCGGAATCCTGACTGAAGAGTCCCTAGTCCGAGTTCGTGGGTAAGGATTTCTTAGCAAGGATTTCTTCTTACGGATGCTGGAGTAAGGTTCGTAATGATTTTCGTAACACATATTATTAAGTATTAAGGGCTTCTTGATATATGATATGGTCAAGGACTCGTTCACCTGCGCCCCCTAGCTGAGAAACTGTTTTGTTCAGGGCTCCCGACTCAGGATTCCGTCGTAAGGATTTCGATTGGCTCTTTATTCAGGGTTCTTTGCGCAAGGTGACTTACCAAATGTGCATCATTAAGGGCATACTGCAAGGATTCTGTACACAAGGAAATCCAGCACGAATTCGTTACCATGAAGTATTTGGTCATGAATTCTTATTAAGTCCTTACTAAGGAGTCATTGCTAAGGCGGCGGTAGTGAGGAACAAGGATCAATGATCTCACAGGATCTCGAAGGATTCCTCGGCTTCGCGGGGATCCGTGAGGATCCGCTAGGATTCCGCAGGATTCTTATGGCTTCCGATTAGAGGGGGAGGGGCAGGAAACCTACTGGAACAACGCAACCCAACAAACAACAGCAACAACAGCAACTACATCACCACCAACAACAACAGCACCTACCACCACCAACAACAAGAGCAACAACAACAACAACAACAACAATAATTTTAAGACCGTTCGCCCTGATATGCTCCAGTGTCCAATAACGCGTATTTCCCAAACCCTCGATACCCGCCCTCTTCGTCTTCGATGGAACCCCTTCTGGGGGGTAGACCTTTCTTCCCTGCAGGCCGGGCCCCGGCAAGCGGCGGGGCGGCCGCGGACCGTCGGCCTGGCCAGCGGCAGCGCTGATCGGCGGGGCGGCCGCGGACCGTCGACCCGACCCCAAGAGGGACGGACAGGGGACCGACGACGACGACGACGACGACGACGACGACGACGACGACGACGACGACGACGACGACGTCGAAGACGACGGCGACGACGACGACGACGACGACGACGGCGACGACGAGCGAAAGTGAGAGCGAGAGAGAACGACAGCAGGGCCACGAAGGGCACGACGTAGGCCACGAAGGGCGACAGCGGGGACACGAAGGGAATGCGTATGGGGCCACGAAGAGCGCGAACGAGCGGGGGCCACGAAGTGCAGATAATGCGGGGCCACAGAAGGCAACTATGGGGCCACTGAGGGTAGCAACTGGGCCACGTAGGACAGTGAGGGGGACACGAAGGGCGACAGCGGGGCCACGAAGGGCATGCACATGGGGCCACAACGGGCGCGACTCCTGGGTGCCTGGGTGTCGGGAGCGCGGCGCTTGAGCAAATTGCAAGAAATTCCAACGCAAGACCATTCTTCAGTAAATTGCAAGCAAGTCTCCAGCGAGAGCGCGACTCCAGAGCGCCGGGAGAGCGATTCATGAATTTATTGTAAGGAAGTCCCAAGCGAGAGCGCGATTCCTGAATAAAATGCGAGGAAGTCTCGGGCGGGAGCGGGGGTCCTGGCTAAATTGTAAGGTAGTCTAAAGCGGGAGCCGTTGTTGTTGTTGTTGTAACCCGGGGGCCAGGGGCTCAGTTTGAGCAGGAAGATTTTCCCTGTCAAAAACAGGGTGGGAGCGTCGAGGGGCACACTTTGATTGAGAAAAAACAGTATGCACCGGTGGGGGTGGATCAACAATAATTATTCTTCAGAAGTGAGAATTCAACCAAACCAAACCAAGACAAACCAAACCAAACCAGCAACACTTATGATTTCGGAAGAACTTTTGGGGAGAAGGGAGGCGCGGGTTTGCCCGAATCCATCGTTTGTTTGTTGACTTGTTGTTTCCCCCCCGGTTTTTTGTTTCAGCGCTGTCGGCCAGGTGCTCAAAAATGCCAGAACCACCAAGGTTTTTTTATCGCGCCTGGCGCTGGAGAAGGAGGAGGAGCAGCAGAAGGAGCAGGAGCACGAGCACGAGCAGGAGCACGAGCACAACCACGAGCAGGAGGAGCAGGAGGAACACGACCAGGAACACGAGGCGCAGGAGCTGGAGGAGTTGCAGGAGGAGCGGGACCAGGAAAAGCAGGAGGGAGAGCAGGAGCATCAGGAGGAGGAGGAGGAGGAGGAGGAGGAGGAGGAGGAGGAGGAGGAGGAGGAGGAGGAGGAAGAGGAGGAACGGGAGGAGCAGCAGCAGCATCATCAGCAGCAGCAGCAATGGGAGGAGCAGCAGCAACGGGAGGAACGGGAGGAGGAGGAGGAGGAGGAGGAGGAGGAGGAGGAGGAGGAGGAGGCGGAGGGAGGAGGCAGACGAGGAGGAGGAGGAGGAGGAGGAGGAGAAGGAGGAAGAGACCCCCCCCTGGCACGGCCGAGCCTCGCCGCACCCCCCCCCCGGCCGGCCGATGAGGGACGTGCTGGGCGTGGACGTGCTCGTGGGGGACGCGTGGGTCGTCAGAAGAGGGCACGGTATCCATGCCGCTTCCCGTCCCTCGGTTTCGCCTTTTCGGGGCCTCCTGGGAGCCCCTCCTCGCCGCCGCTGGCTTCGTCTCGGCGTTCTTGTCAGGACGCACCCCGGGGGAGGTCTGGGGAGTAGCGTTAAGTCGGGCGTGTCCCTCTACAGGGGGAAACTTCAAAAATAGTCAAGAACTAGTCAGGGGACGATGTTTGGACTATTTTTGAATATTTGGCGGGTATTTTTTGAGTATTTGTTATTCTTCGCCCCAAATCCCCCCGTAGGGGGACACGCCCGGCTTAAGAGTAGCGCCACGGGTACCTTTTGGTTTCCCCAGGTCGACCCGGTGTTCGGGGTGGGGCGCGTGGAGGGCCTGCAGGCGCGGGGCGGCAGCCAGGGAGAAGCAAGGATCGGGGCTCGAGGCTCGAGGCTCGAGGCTCGAGGCTCGAGGATCGAGGCTCGAGGCTCGAGGCTCGAGGTTGGAGGGCCCAGGTCGGAGGAGCGAGCATCGGGGGGGGGGGGGGGAGGAGGGGCAAGGAGGAGCGAGGCGAGGGAGGAGAGGAGTGGCGCCTCCGCCGCCTCCTCCTCGTCCCGCGCCTCCTGCGTCCTCCTCCTCGGCCTACTCCGCATCAGATGCGAATCTGTCGCCGCTCGGTTTGTTCCGACGCGCCGCCCTACGTTTTTCCGCAAACAGCTTGCTGAACGGGGTGCTGTTGTGATAGGAGCTAACTCTGGCCGAGGGAACTCAAAGCAGAGACGTCGTCAAACAAATTTGGTGGTCCGGGCCGTTTCGCCTGAGACATCCTCGCAACTCTCGTTTCTGAGTTGTCTGGGATTGGGCGTTTCGCGTGAGACATCCTCCAAACTCTGACTTCCGAGATGCCGCGCAAGAGGTGGTCCAGCTTGTTTCGCCTGAGACATCCTCGAAACTCTGAGCTCCCAGATGCCGCGCGAGAGGTGGTCCGGCCCGTTTCGCCTGATCCTCGAAACTCTGGGCTCCGAGATGCCGTGCGCGAGGTGGTCCGGCGCTTTTCGCCTGAGACATCCTCTCAACTCTGAGTTCTGAGATGCCGCGCAAGAGGTGGTCCAGCCCAGTTCGCCTGAGAAATCCTCGAGACTCTGGGCTCCGAGATGCCGCGCAAGAGGTGGTCCTGCCCGTTTCGCCTGAGACATCCTCCAAACTCTGAGCCCTGATATGCCGTGCGCGAGGTGTTCCGGCCCGTTTCGCCTGAGACATCCTCGCAAATCTGCGCTCTCTGATGCCGCGCAAGAGGTGGTCCAGCCCGTTTCGCTTGAGACATCCTCCAAACTCTGAGCCCCGAGATGCCGCCCACGAGGTGGTCCGGCCCGTGGGACTGTATTCTGGGCTCCGATAGCTTCGGTGGCCTGGGTCACCTGTGGACGCTGCCGAGTTCTCCTGCGGGGCAGGCGACCCGCGGGTCTCAATACGAACTCAGTGCTTCACTTGGTCGGCGGTTCCTCCGTCTCCAGTTCCCTCTCTGCTGTTCCTTTTTTTTTTTCTCTCTCTCTCTCTCTGCTCCTGCTGCTGTCCTCGCGCTTGCGCTGTCCTCGCTCGCCCTCGCACTGTCGTCATCCTCGCCGCAGCGGATGGCATGGCCTCATAGCTTCTGAAGCTCCACGTCCTGTCCGCACCGCCTCGCATCAGGGAGAGAGGGCCCGCACGAGCTCGCCGAGTGTCGAGGCGTGCGCCCCTCGCCGGCGCGCGCCCCCCACCTCCACGTCCGCCTGCTGCCGTAAGGGTATACAGCCTTGCTGCCTCGATACGCCCGTTTCGATACGCAACGCGTGCCGTGCTCAAAACGTCCGTGTCAATACGTTGCCTGTTGGCTCCACGCATTGGACCGCGTTTCGGCGAACGTATCGCGTCGGAGCTACGTTTTCAGCCTACGTGTTGAGCTCCGTATCAATACGATACGTGTTGCGTGCTGCGTATCGGGGCAGCTAAGGTGTACAGTATTCTTCCCTGACGGCGTCCCTTCACTCGTTTCAATCCCTGGCGAGCGGCAGTTGCTTTTAGGATTCAGGGGAGTGATCACTGCAAGCTGAGGCTGTCCGACGAGAATCGGGGCCGGAATGCTGGAAAAAAACAGGTGGTCCGGCCCGTTTCACTTGAGACATCCTCGCACTTTTGCATTCCGAGATGCCGCGCGAGAGGTGGTCCGGCCCGTTTCGTCTGAGTCTTTCTCGAAACTCTGAGCTCTGAGATGCCGCGCAAGAGGTGGTCCAGTCCATTTCGCTTGAGACATCCTCCCATCTCTGTCCGCGGAGATGCCGCGCGCGACGTGGTCCAGCCCGTTTCGCCTGAGACATCCTCGCAACTCTGAGCTCTGAGATGCCCTGCGCGAGGTGGTCCGGCCCGTCTCGCCTGAGACATCCTCGCAATTCTGAGCTCTGAGATGCCCTGCGCAAGGTGGTCCGGCCCGTTTCGCAGAAGACCTTATCGCAACTCTGAGCTCCCAGATGCCGCGCACGAGGTGGTCCAGCCTGGGGGCCCAGAAGACCACATGTTACATATCCCCCCTGGGACCCTGGGAGCTCCAGGAGGCCCCAGCGAGCTTTAGGAGCCGCAAGACGCCCAGGACAGGCCCCAGGGGTCCCCAGGAGATTCCCAGGAGACTCCCAAGAGGCCCCAGGAGGCCCCCTATCAGAACGTGTCAAGCTAATACACATCCAGTGTCGATTCGTTGATTTTTCCTGCTCTTGTGCCCCCCCCCATTTTGGGGGGCCCAGACGGCCACATGTTAGATATCCCCCCCTGGGAGCCCCAAGAGGCTTCAGGAAGCTCCAGGTGGGGTCCAGGAGGCCACAGGAGGCCCAGGAGGAAGCCCCAGGAGGTCCCCACGAGATCCCAGGAGGCCCCAGGAGGCCCCCGCAACTCGGAGCTCTGAGACGCCGCGGTCGAGGTGGTCAGGCCCGTTTCGCTTGAGACTTTTTCGCGGCACGTTTCGCCCGGGACATCGTCGCAACTCTGGGGTCCGAGATGCCGTGCGCGAGGTGGTCCAGCCCGTTACGCTGGAGACATCCTCGCAGTTCTGGGCTCCGAGATGCCGTTCGGGATGCAGCGGAGGTGGAGGAGGAGGAGGAGGAGAAGGAGGAGGAGATGGAAGGGAGAAGGAGGAGGATCATGTGGATGAGGGAGCAGGCAGGAGGAGGGGGAGGAGGAGGAGGAGGAGGAGGAGGAGGAGGAGGAGGAGGAGGAGGAGGGAGAAGGAAGGGAGTTGCAGGAGAGGACCTAACGGGAAGCGAGTGTGACGTGGACTTGTCAGAACGTGTGCGAGAGGTTGTCCGGCCCGTTTCGTTTGAGACATCCTTCCAATACTGAGCTTCAAGATGTCGCCAAAACTGAACCTCTGACAGTGCCGACCCGACAGCTTACTCGTCGACCAGGTGTGAGAGAGTACGACACCCTCTAGCTTTAGCTTCCTGATAGGCATGCGTCACACAAGTTTTCGTGTAAACATCCCATGTGCAAACATCATTTTGTAACATGCCATGCCAGGCCGCACTGGACGGGCACGCCATCGATCTTGGAAACCGCAGTGGGTTTGAAAACCCTGTTTGGGGATACCGCGCTCCGGCTATAATTGAGAGGGCGCCTCGGCCACCAGGGTAATCTCTGCCTCGGACGCAAGGTTCGCCGTGGGGTTTATCGCGGTGCCAACTTCGTTGACTTGGGCGCGTTCAGAACAAACTGCGCGGCGACATACGCGGACGCGGATGCGGGGGGCGGAGGAGGCGGCGGCAGAGGATGAGGCGAGGAGGCGGGAGGCGGAGGTGGAGGAGGGAGGCGGGCGGGTCGGCGCGGATGAGGGGAGGGGGGGAGGAGGAGGGCGGCCCCCCTCCCGACGATCTGGGGAAGAAAAACAGGCGGAGCGCCCGAGCGGGAACGTATTGTACCCCAGGGAGATTTGTTTGGACAGGAAGGCAGCGGTCCGATCGCTGGCGCGCGGCCACGTTCCCAGTAGGGCTAGTATTAGGAGGAAAAGAAACACACAGACACAATTCATCGTCGATTCCCCCAAAAAATTGGGAAATATGGGAAGTGGAGGAAAAACAAAAACCCAGAACATATATGAAAAAATGGGGAAACCTGTTATTCGTGTGTATTTATTTGTGTGTCCTGGGGCCCCTTCATAGTAGCGGTCGCAAGCCATGCGCCGCGCCAGGTCAGGGATGCACCTCTCGGGAGCAGCCTGCGCGGCGCGTGGGCGAGGTCGACACTTCGCTCTTCCGCTCTGGCGGCCCCGATTCCGACGATATGGTGAGCAGAAGAAGTGCTCCGCGACAACGCGGACGCTCCGTAATCAGGAAAACAGAGTGCGGGGCCGATGCGAGAGTGGCACTTCGCCCGACGTTGCGCATAGTGCAGACGTCGCCTTCGCTCCTGCCGCGCATGTCGCAGTGCCGGCTACATAATGTCAACGGCAGGGGGAGACGCAGCTTTGGTATTGCTGCAGACGGCTCGGATGGAACTGCCCTGACATGATCCATGCCGGGGCAGCAATAACGGGTACAGCCGGGGCGCTGAAGAATGAACCCTTTTCGTTGGGGAAGGGCTCGGTGTTTCTTGATTGTTGTCCAGCGTATCAGGTTGTCCTGAGGTTTTCCATGGGACATCGAAGTTTCACTTTTGGGAAGAGGGGGCCTCGTTCCTGATTTAGTATTCCTTAGGCCAACGCCCCGACTGTAATGGTACGGCCATGCCATGCGAGGGGGGGAGGACGGGGCGGGAGGAGGGCTCGGCTTGCTGTTTTCGCCCTCCCTCTCTTTGCCCTCCTCTCGTACTGCCGCTGCACGGCCCTCGCCCCGACCGCAGATGCGGGCAGGCTGTGGGAAAGCATGTCCTCCTCCTCCTCCTCCTCCTCCTGATCCTCCTCCTCCTCCTCCTCCTCCTTCTCTTCCTCCTCCTCTTCCTCCTCCTCCTCCTCCTCCTCCTCCTCCCTCTCCTCCTCCCCCTCCACAGGAGCGGGAGGAGAGAGCGGGAGGAGGGCTCTCCACCCTCCTCGTCGTCCTCCTCCTCTTCCTCCTCCTCCTCCTCCTTCTCCTCCTCCTCCTCCCCCTTCTCCTCCTCCCCCTCCTCAGGAGGAAGACGACCCACCAAGGTAAATTGAGGATGCGTCGGTGATGCTGTAACCCACCCTCCCGTCCGAAGCCCCCCCCCCCCCCTCGGCAGTCCCTGCAGAGATTCTGCCCCACCGCGGGAAGCGCAGGCCTGCTACGCAGGCGAAACCCCGTTGCGTGGCTTTGTTTGTAGCGGTTCAGCCAACACCGAAACCGATGGAAGCAGCACTAACAGTATCTCGTCGCAGCAGCTGTGAGATTACGCAGCTGGCCGTCGCCGTACGAAGTGGTGGCTCATGAAAAATTAAGAGTTTGTGGTGCCCCATGCTCAGGAGGGGAAAAACACAGAAACAATTAATCGTCGGTCCCCAAGAAAATATGGGAAAATATGGGGATTGGGCGGGAAGACAAAACCCAGAAAACACATGAAACAATTGGGAATATTTTTATTTGTGTGTATTTATTTGTGTGTCCCAGGGCCCCTTCACATGCAGCGGTAGTGGACTTACGGACGTGGCCATCGCCCGGCGAAGCAGGGGTGGCCTCAGTAATGGGCGGTCGCCTCAAGACGTGGTGCCCCTTGCGGGAGAGGCGGGCGCATTCAGACCTGGTGGAAGTTTTTGTTTGTAAGTGATGGTTCGCGCTATCAGGTCGTTCCGTTTTGCGGCGGCGTGACAACACGAATATGGTCGGGAAGGGTCGGTGTGTTTTTGTTGCGCTACGGCGCTCGACCCCGTCCTCGTCTGTGGCGCCAGTGGAAAAGAAGCCGGCACCGTAACCTCCATCTCCCGAGCAAGAAAACACACACCGGCTCGAGTTGATAACGTTCAAGGAGGTGACCATACAACATCGGGGCGTTTCAAGTCAGAGCGCCAGTTAAAAACGTGATGTGCCCTCAATCCGTTGCATTAGTTCCCCTCTGGACCTTCGGGCCGTAACATTGTGTGAACCCTCGAACCATATGGGCGCATCGAGATCCAAACTGGCTTCTATCACAGTGTAGCTGAGCTGTAAGATCTCTACAGCGAGTGTGCGTCTCGCTGAGAGGCCAGAGCCGCATTCTTGAATGTCACCCCGCACCACTGTAACTCGTCAGTCTTCTCGTCGGAGCGCGTGCGGCGCGGGGGGAGGCCGCAGACTGACTGCTGCGCAGCTGGCAGCCTCGGGCCGCAGCGTTCGGGGAAGTCTCGAGCGAGAGGGCCCGAAAACACGCGTGGCCTCCATCGGAGGGACGGAGGAGGAGCGACGATGCACGAGGCGGAGCGAGGAGGAGCGAGGAGTGAGGCGGAACGAGGCTCTGATTCGAGGCCGCACGGCGCCGCCGCCGCGCGGAGCCGCGGCTCCCTTGAAAGGACTCGCTTCGAGTCTTGAGCGAGAGGGTGCAACCGTGGTGGACATTTCCGTGGCGATTGTGCGCGGCGTCGTTTTCGGCACCGCCTGATCCCGAGGCTTTGCCTCCTCCCGGCCTCGCCGGCGAGAGCCCACGTTTGGAGAGGAGCCGCCCTCCATCCGTGTAGGTGTCAGACAGTCTGGAATTTCGCCTCGTACGGCTTCGAGAAGTTTCGGGCGGGAGGTGGTTGTTGGAAACTTTTATGATCCGCGGGTCGAGAGCGCACCTCTTCCGGTCGAAGCTAAGCGGGCCGCGCACAGCTTGAATTAACAAAGAGGGGGGTGGGCAGAAGGAGGGGCCTCACGTCAAGGCCAGGAGGGGGCAAAGCCCCGGAATCAGGCGGTGCCGAGGACGATGTGCTTGCAAAGGAACGCCTTGGACAGTGGTTGTTGGAAACACGCATAGCTTCCATCCGTGTAGCCGCAATAGAAGTTGTTGCACTGAGCGTGCGCGGAAGCAGAAGGGGAGACCAGCATGTGGCCCCCCCCCCCCCGCCGCAGTGAAACAGTCGACAGTCTTACGCCAAGTGGGCGCGGCGCTAAGGCGAGAGCCCCATTTTGGGACAGGAGCCGCCCTCCATCCGTGTAGGCGTCGTACAATCTGGATGTTCGGGTCGTGAGGTTTCGAGGCATTCTCGAGCGAGAGGTGGATTTTGAAAACACGCATGGCCTCCATCCTTGCAGCTGGTCGGAATCTTGTGCAACGAATGTGCGCCGCGCCAGAAGGCGAGAACCACATTTTGATGCCCCCTCATCCGTGTAGCTGTTTAGTACTGAGTTGGCATGCGCGCGGCACTAATGCGAGAACCCCATTTTGAATATATGGTGGCTCCAGCCGTGCAGTTGTTGCACAAGTTTGAATCCGGGCGCGTGGGATTTGTCGACCGTGCAGCGAGAGCCGCATTGCAAAAACGAGCCAACATCCGCCTTTGCCGAGGTTGGAAGCATTCCCAACGAATGCGCGAGGCGATAAAGAAGAACCGAGCGAGCCGCAGCTTGGACCCCTTTCTCATCCTTGTAGTTGCTGGGAGCTTCTGGAGCGAATGTGCGCGGCGTTGGGGCAGCAGCCCCAGCGCCGCGCACATTCGGCGGGGGATTCGGGTGGCGTCCAGCCTGGGGTGAGGACTGGGGGAGGAGGAGGAGGAGGAGAGGGCGGGGAGAGAGGAGAGGAGAGGAGGAGGATGAGGAGGGAGGAGGAGGAGGCTGAGGAGGAGGAGGGGGGGGGTAGGAGCGATGGAGGAGGAGGAGGAGGCGGAGGAGGAGGAGGAGGAAGGAGTAGGAGGGGGGGTAGAGGAGGCGGGGGTAGGAAAGGGTGACGTAGGAGTAGTAGGAGTAGGAGGAGGAGGAGGAGGGGAGGAGGAGGCGAATGAGGAGGAGGAGGAGAGGAGGAGATGAGGAGGAGGAGGCGAGAATAGGAGATGCGTAGGAGGAGGAGGAGGAGGAGGAGGAGGTAGGGGAGAGGAGAGGAGGAGGAGGAGGAGGAGGGGGGGGGAGGAGGAGGGAGGAGGAGGAGGAGGAGGAGGAGGAGGAGAAAGGAGGGGGTGTGCATTCTGAACACCGCTGGCCCTCCATCCCTGCAGCTGCTTGAACTTGTTAGCTCTGGGGCCGGCGACTTGTGTTAAGTCGGGCCTGTCCCTCTACAGGGGGAACATTCAGAAAAAGTGGAAAATAGTATGGGGATCATTTTTTTAGTATTTTTGAGCATCTTTTCAATATGTTTTGCGTGTTTTTCACTTTTCGTCCAAAATCCCCCTGTAGGGGGACAGGCCCGACTTAAGACTTGTGTCAGGAGGCCCCGAGCGGAACGCCCGGGCCCGGCCCACGGGCGCGTCGGTTGCCGCCGCGGCAGGGGGGCTGTGCTCCCAGGGAGGGTGTGCGGCGCTGTTCGCGAGGAGGGGAGGGCGCCCTCGAGGGCGCGAAGTTATTCGCGTTTCGCGGTTCGGCTCGGATTCCTCCTCCTCCTCCCCTTCTCCCTTGGGAGGCGGCGCGAGAGCGCGAAGTTGTTCGCACTTCGCGCTTCGCGCAGTGCGAAGCGCGAAGTTGGGAGCCCCTAAGGAGGGGACGGAGGTGCACGGTGGCGCAGGATTAAGTCGGGCTTGCCCCTCTACAGGAGGAACATGCAAGAATAGTCAAACAATAAAATATGGGGACGATTGTTCTATGGTTTCCAACTATTTCCGAGCATTGTTTGGCCATTTTTTATCTGTCGTCCAAAATCCGCCTGTAGGAGGACATGCCCGACCTAAGCGTAGGAGGGGGAAGCCAGAAGGCAAGCAGAGATGCTGGGGGCGAGGGGGAGGAAGAGGAAGGCGGCCGAGTGATGTGCAGGGGAGAATGGAGAGCAAGAAGAGGATGATGAGGACCAGGACCAGGAGGTTGGAATCGCCAGGGTGAGTTTGGAAGGGGGACGTAGCGAGGATGAGCGGGAAATGGAAGATGACAATCGGATGAGGGATAAAAGAGGAGGTGGAGGAATGGGATGCGGGGGAGTTATTGTGGAGTGAACGAGAGTTGAGAGGGAACGATGGGGAAAAAAGACAGACAGAGACAGAGGAATGAGGATGGGGATGGGCGAGAGCTGAGGCGCGATGAAGACACAGGAACAGTAGAGAATAACGAGCGGATGGGGAGGAGTGGGGGAGGGGAGAGGAGGAGGGAGGAAGGGTGAAAGGGAGGGAGGGAGGAGGAGGTGCGGGAGGAGGAACAGGAGGAGTAAGAGGGGATGAGAAGGGACGAGGGACGAGGGAGAGGGGAGGCGGGAGGGGGATGGAGGAGGATGAGGCGGAGGAGGAGGAGGAGGAAGGCGGCGGCGGCGGAGGAGGAGGCGAAGTGCATGCAGGTGTTGAACCCCGCGGGCTTCTCGTCTGACCACCTGCTGCGGACCGGACGGCTGGTGCTGGACATGTGGGCCGAGAAATCAGCGCAGCGAGGTGATCCTTCACCTTCTCCCCGCCCTTCTTCCCCTCTCTTATCCCAAACCAAACTCATAGTACAAGTTGATTCCTCATCCCTCTGCCCAGCCTCCTCTTCCTTCCCC